TATGAATATATGCAGTTCTTTGTGCTTCATTCCTATAATATTTTTTTAAGCTTCTTGAAAGAGTACTTATTATCTTTGAAGTAGATGTGGTAGTCTTATGATTAAATCAGTATGTAAAATCTGAATGGGCAATATTATTACTTCCCCTGAAAAGTATTAGTATACTGGATACTTGGATATTTTATAAAATGTTTGACAAATGGGTTGCCCAACCCATTATCCAATAAACACAGACTAGTAATAAATGAATTTTGCCATTCTTGAAATAGCTCTTATTGTTTTTATTGCCAAAGACTAATGGTTGAAGTGAAGCCTTAGATTTGTTTGGTTCCTTACTCAACTTATGGCTCCATATATGTTTATTTGGCAACCCATGGTTCTTGGGTCGTTACTGAGTGAAAAGCTAAGGGCCCAATCCCTTTTGGCCTGGAAGACAAAGTCACAGGATGCATAATTTTTAAAAGCACAACCATAGAGTGTTGACTTGCCCAGAGCAATTTTCTCTCTTTCTTTCATTGAAAGGTATAGAGTCTGTTTACTCCTTATAGATATGAAGACCAACTATTTTATCCAGGATAAGAAATATATAAATAGTGTATCATTTTTAAAAGGAAGAGGTAGGTATCTTCTTCCTCCTTAATCCTCACCATAGGGTCACTCTACTAGAACTTCAACTAGATTTCTTTTCAGAGGAGACAGATATACTGAATTTCAGATCACCCAGACCAACCACATATTCTGTGCACAAGTCTGCTGCAACATTAGCTAGGTTATGAGTCAGCTGTGTGTGTGTGTGTGTGTGTGTGTGGTGAGGGTGGGCATGAGAAATTCACCATCCCCTGAAGCAAATTCATTTTGCCTTCAGAAAACTCTGTTGAAAAAATTCTTTCTAATGTTGGGTCAATGTCTGATTTCCTCGGGAAGCAGTATAATATAGTTAAATGGCCATGGGAATCAGACAGAACTGATTCATATCTGAGGTCTAGATGGGCAACTTTAGGCAAGTTACTTAACCTCTTTGTCTCAATGTTCTCATCTGTGAAATGGGGATAATGATGGCAATTTCAAGAGTTCATTGAGAGAATTAAGTGACATAGCATATGTAAAACACTGAAGATGGTACCCTGCCCATACTAGGCCCTTGGCATGGTTATCTTCTGGAAATTTCTCCCTTTGTGCCAGTTCTGTCCGCCTGAACCATGCAGAAGTCTACATTTCTTTCCAACTCAACTGTCATATCTACCCTGTCTCCCTTTAGCTGTTCCTCAAATGACATTATTTGGTGAGTTTCTTCACCGAAGGAATGCCATAGAGTTTGTTTCTTTTGAAGAGGGATACCTCAAAGAAACACAGTGCTTCAGAGGTAGTCTGAGTGTATAAAATGAAGCGGGACCATCACCTACCATTTATGCATCTTTAAGTCAAAATAAGTTGGTTGTTTCCTTCTTCGTTTTGGGGGGCAGCCACATCATACATTGGGTCAGAATAATGTGAAAATATTATCCATGATATCAGTCATTTCATTTTTTAGAATTTTGATCTAACATTTATTTATTTTGCTTATAATTAAATAACTCATTAAATACATAGATTAGAAGTCATTAGGGTGAATTTTGCTTTGTGTTGATACTGTCAAAATCTTTTATGATTTTTTTTTGTGCCTGAGTTTTTACAATGTACATATATTCTTTCCTTTTTTTAAATGGTATGGCCTGTACATATTTTCTAAAGATGTGCTTTCACCTTTCAGTCATGCTTATCTTCTGTTTGCCTAAAAAAAAAGGTGATTTGGCAATGGAAAATATAATGAAAACAAAGTAAATACATGCTTGAGGATATATTGCTGAAGTAGCTTAATTTGACCCAGAACATTTTGAAATCTTTCACTTGTACTCTCATGTCTCTTAATAGAGGCACAGATTATTGGATTGAGCATAAGATTATCCATATAATTCTCAGTCCATTATGAAGTAAAACTATTAAGCATTTTACATATAACTAGTTTGTATATAGAAATAAATGTGAATATGTGTGTTTATTTTATCCATACTGGTGATGGCATTGATTTATATAGAGAGAGTTAGATGTGTAAAAAGCACTGTTACATTTTTACCTGAATAATTATGCAATTTGAGGCATTGTCTTTTTGAAATTAAGTGATCTAGGTTAATTTGTTTGATTAAACATTTTTCTTTACATTATCATAATCTTTGAATTAGTTTTACCAGATTTTTTTCAGTGATATTACCAAAGAAAAGCTCTAAAAAATGTCTGTGCTTTATAGTTCTGAACTTAACCTACAAATTGGCAATAAGAGACTTGTAAAACTCATATATGGGGTCTGCATAGTGTTAATGTTTGAGATTTATTTCCCCCCAAAGCTTCATAAAGAGTATTGACAAATATACTGCACACTGCGATTTTGACATGGTCATAATGTAGGATGGGAGGTTTGAAAGGTTTAAATAAACATCTAAATTGAATTTGTTAGATATTCTGCAGCAAGAGTCCTGTTAGTCACTAGCATCAATTTATTTTTATTGAGCCTTTTCCAAAGAGTAATAATATATGTCTCTTCTAAAGAACGGAATAAGGAAGCTATTGCAAAATAAACCCTGAATTCTTATCTTTTCTGCCATTGGTCAGTAGACTTCCCCTTTTAAGGAGTCACGTCTATTTTCAGTCATTAAAATATACTTTATTTTCCTAAAATATTCAATCTCTAAATGACTTTCTAGAACCCATTTAATTTGGGACCTTTGTTGGTTTTTGTGAAGCAAGTTGCTTGTTGTTACGGTGTCTTTTACTGTCAAAGATTATCAAGTTGAGCTAGTCTTCTTATTTTTCATACGTGCTTCCTATTTCAGGTTAAAAATAATGGATATCCATTTTTTTAATTTATTTGTTAAGAAATAATTAGCATCAGATATGTCCAGACTCTATAAGGATTGAAAAGACAAGATCATTTTCTTTACAGAGCTCACCTTTCAGTGAGTAAGATAATCATGATATGAAGTAATAAATGCTGTAACAGGACTGTGTACAAAATGCAGTGGAAATACAGGTGAAGGGAAATGATGCGTCATGATGCGTCATCTAGCATTCTTCCCGATCAATGGTGCAAAGCACAGAAATATTGTTGAAGATGTGTGGGAAGAGAAAAAAATGTGAAAACAAGTCTTAGAAAAGGTTTCAATAACAACTCTTCTTATTCTTTAGAATTAGGATTTTGCATCAGATAATAGGATGTAAACTAAAACTATCTTTTTAGTTTGTGGTTATTCCTACATAGTTAATTTTTGTTAATACTAGACGTCTCTAGTTTTAAGTTCAGAGATGCCTATTTTGTTTTTGTCGGGCGCCAAAGCATAATGTATTTGTGAAAATATGTGATCATGAGCAACACTTAAAAAATATATAGTTGGGTATGATTTGAAACACATAACTGATTTGTCTGTTTATCCAAAAACTGATTGACCATCTACCATGTGCTATATTAGAGGGAGGGCAAAGAGAGAGATGGACTTTGCTATCATGGAGCTTGTGGTCTAATCATAAAATCGCTTGAGCATAGAAGGTCTTTGGGAATTTCTTCTGTTGAAATATTAACTCAAAAATATGAACCAAGACATGTAGCAATAAGCCACATTTTGTATAGAAGGATTACCAGAGTAAAAAAAGTTAGATATCAAGTTCTTTTTTTTTTTTTTTTAAATTCAAGCTCTTTTTTATTTGTTTCTTTTTCTTTTTTTGGAAAAAATTGTTCCTTCAAATTAATAGCCCCTAAAGATTTTTCTACCTTTGGAATTCAAATATGAAAAAATAAGGGTGTCTAGATTGATAGCTACAATAATACTATGCATCTCACCTCATGGTTCCAAAAGGAAAGAAAAGGATAGGAAAGTAAATTTAAAACATTGAAATTATGTCTCCATGCCAGGCCATGACTCAACTGGGTATGGAATGGTCAGTTTGATGTTTTCTCGTTCATGATTATTTATGCAGCTGTTACGTAGCTGACGTTCGTTCCGAGTTGAGTGTTGAAACAAACAGTACATCCAGTTCGGTGTACCCAAAAATGTATGGTGCGGGGTTGTTTTGTGTTACGAAGATCTGGTGTTATTTTTCTCCATATAGTACTTGTTTAATGAGCGATTATACCAGTAACAATTAGAGGAGTGTTTTCCAAACTTTTTTTTTTTTAAACAGCACCAAATCCAACATAGGTGAAATTAGAGCTGGTTGAATCATACTTAATTTATTTATTTGTATAAGCAACCATCTCATCTGCTTACTCCCTCTAGCCCTGCTCCCACTCACTCCGTCCAGACTCCCCAAACTCAGAGCAGCTCAGATGTGTAGCGTTACTGATGGCGAGTGACAGGGAATGCCCAGGCTTCTGGTGTCAGCCTTTCAAATTACATATTATGCACTGGCCTTCCTGAAAAATGTGTTTTTTTCTTATTATGAGGGAAAAGAAATATCTTTCATTACACCTTTCAATTTTATTCAACCGATAGGCAGGTAAAAAATTGAAACCCATCTTATCACTCAATTGCTTGTGAATTAAAGGCAAAACAAAATCAGAATATAACTGGCAAACTATATTGGTGCCATTGTAGATTTGCTGCTTTCTTTTTCTTTTCTTGTTTTTTTTTTTGGACCAAAAGAAAATCATATTGTATTTACATCGTAGTAGATCAAATATTTTAGGAAGAATATCAGAGTTGACCAGTTAGAGTTCAACAATTGTGTATGAGCCCTCCTCGAAGTTTCTCTCCCTCACAGTCTTACTTTCCATGAAAGAAATAAACCATGTAGTGTATGTGTATACGTATAATATTTATAATTTAGCATATTTATCTCATTGAACTGTAACTTTGAAAAAAGTGATAGTAGTAATTTGATGCCTATGGAATTTATATTTCTAATATTGTAGATTTTAACATTGTATTTTTTCTTTTTCTCTTCCCTCCCTCCTGCCCCTCTCCTGTCCACAGTCCTGGTACCTGGGCTAGCTTGGTTCCTTTCCAAGTATCAAATAGGACACCCATCCTACCGGCAAATGTCCAAAATTACGGTTTGAACATAATCGGAGAACCTTTCCTTCAAGCAGAAACGAGCAACTGAGGGAAAATGAAATACAACAATAGTTTCAGAAATTTAAAAAAAAAAAAAAGGAAAAGAGGAAGACTGGACAAAACAAAACAAAACAAACAAAAAGGGAGAAAGGAAAGAAACTGAAGAAAGAAGATAATAGACCAGCAATTGCAGCACTTACAATCAGTAATTCCCTTAAGGTTGAAACTGTAAAGACATAAAAAGGGTCGATGATATTTCACTGATGGTAGATCGCAGCCCCTGCAACGTAGCCTTTGTTCCATGAAGTCCGCTGGGAAATAGATGTTCTGTCTCTATGACAATATATTTTAACTGACTTTCTAGATGCCTTAATATTTGCATGATAAGCTAGTTTTATTGGTTTAGTATTCTTGTTGTTTACGCATGGAATCACTATTCCTGGTTATCTCACCAACGAAGGCTAGGAGGCGGCATCAGAGGTGCTGGGTGACAGAGCCATGAGCCAGCCATTTTATAAGCACTCTGATTTCTAAAAGTTAAAAAAAATATATAAAATCTCTGTAGCCTTTAGTTATCAGTACAGATTTATTAAATTTTGGCCCTTAACCCAGCCTTTTCCAGTGTGTAACCCAGTTTGAAATCTTAAAAAAGAAAAGAAAAAAAAAGAAAAAAAAAGGAAAAAAAGAAAAAAGGAAAAAAAAACAGTTTGAACACAAAGGCTCTATGGAAGAAATGCCTCTATGTAGGTGAAGTGTTATCTCTGCATGCAACAGTAAAAATTAATATAATATTTTCCCCACAAAAGAAACACTTAACAGAGGCAAGTGCAATTTATAAATTTATATCTAAAGGGGAATCATGATTATAAGTCCTTCAGCCCTTGGACTCTAAATTGAGGGGATTAAAAAGAATTTAAAATAATTTTGAACGAATTTATTTTCCCCTCAGTTTTTGAGGGCATTAAAAAGGCATTAAATCAAGACAAATCATGTGCTTGAGAAAAAAAATTTAATGAAAACACAGCACTTATGTTGGTTTAGCTGCAGCCTCCTCGGAGGTAGAATTTATTTATTTAAAATTACTGGTTGCATCAAGAACCCATAGGGTGTACAAAAGGTTCTATAAAATCTGCATTATAGAGACAAAGAGGCAGGCAAATCCATGACACAAGGGTAAAGCTTACAGTTTACAAACTGGGACCGCCAGGGTGTAGGATATAAAAACGCACTCTTGAGAAAACACTTGTCATCAGGGTGCTGAAAACTTGCATGGTGCTTTCAGATATTAGCCTTGTTCAACAAATTTCTTGTATTGACAGATCTGTAGTGTGCATGGGCAGACACATTTTGCCTCTATGTCTCTTAAAATTTTAATTAAAAATACTCTTTCCAGTAATCCTAATTTGCACGAAGATATAATGTCCACATGACGTGCCTTGCCTTGAAATCTAAAAAACAAAAAAACAAAAAACAAAAAAAAAAACCCACAAAAGGTGACATCACTACACTTGTTTTGCTGCATTTATTATCATTTTAAATCTTTACCATTTTTATGACAAAATATTTTGTACTCCAGACGAAGAAAAATGTGTGACATCATGGATTTTTTAGACAGTTATACCTTTATCTCACATTTATAAAGCATATCATGGCTGTGTATAGTTGCCGCTTAAAAATTGTAATCGACCAGCAATATTTTCAGTATTTTGGTGTTTTTTCTATTAACCTTTCATGTTTTTCATCTTCCAATTAATATTTGGGGGGGAGGGGTTTCAAATTTATACGAATTATGCAATACCAAGTTTTGCCTATGTAGGTAGTGCTTTTAGCTGTATTGGTTATTCTAGGTAAGTACACAGATTTAAAAAAAAATAATGTATGCTTTTTTTTTTGTTTGTTTGTTTTAATTGACCAAAGTGGGTACTGCTATTTTTGCAGTGTGATGAGGTCCTTTTGTGTACTGAGAGATGGACAGGGGATTTTTTTTAATATACATATATATATATTCTGGGGTGGGTGGGAGGATTTTTAACACTTTACAGTGTAGCTGTGAAGCAGTGCACCCTGAGATGGGCCTGGGCTGCAAAGCGACTGTTCTGCCTACTGTGACAAACTTCAACTTACACAGGTTCCCCCCTTCTCTAACTTCCCACCTGGGGTGCAAGCTGAACTCATTTCTGGTTTTCATAACAACAAAAATAGTAAGAACAAGTGAACACAACACATTCTCCTGGAGGCAGACTTGGCTTAAAACAAACTGTCTGATCTTTTTTTTTGGTGGTGGTGGTAGTTTTTCTTGAAAGTTCCAGATCCACAGTGGAGAGTGAGTCTGTCTCATATTTGGCAAACATATTTGTTGAAATGTCCACACAGCGGATGTTTCACATTTTGGGGGTTTAAGACATGAATATACTTTCTCCTACAAAACCTGTCATCCCAGCTGGAGGGAGTGCTCCCATATTCTTTCTCCACCACTTCTCTGTCCCATTTCTTCATTTCATTGATGATAGTCTAAGATTTACCTGTGACTCACTACTTCAAATGGAATTTTTTTTAATACATCCAGAAGATTGAACAGAGGGTTGCTATTATTAAATGTATTTGGACTTACAGATTAAAATCAAAGTTCAATTTTTAAGGAACCAAAAAAAATAAATAAATCTTATTAAGTTTTCATTTTACCTGCCCTTTTAAACTGAGAATCAGAGCAGGGAAATATAGAATTTTAAGAAATTAATTTTCCTGTGGATGAATTAAGCCCATTAGATGCTGATGGGATTTTTTAAGGGATGGTACCTCAAATATAGATTTGATTCAGTTTCCCCTGAGGGCTAGAGGGTGAGTGGAGGCTGGTTTTATTTTGCGACCCCCCCCCCCAAGTCCCATTGAGGGAATTCATGACTAGAAGGAAAATCTTTAAGAATTAGTGACACATGGTGGGCTGTCTTGAGGCACCCCCGACCGCCTTCCCCCAGGCCACAGCCTAATAAAATAAACTGTCCATTGTTCTCACAGCATATCGTTTAATAATGAATACTTTAGAACAATGCTTATGGGCCTGAGAATTGTATTTGATTAGCCCATTGAGTTTGATAGCCCAAATGCTGAATAGCACAGCAGGATCCTAGCCGCGCAAGTTCAAAAGTAAATCCAGTCATTTCTGTGATTCTTGCCCTGGTAGAAAACAGATCATCTCAGCCAAGCTCTTCATGCACCTTTGACCTATTGGGTGAACACGTTAACCTCACAGGACGAGCAGTATTTTTTAAGGGCAGACTCGCTCTCTTTTTGGCCAGTGAATGAGCAGTTCTAGCTAAACAAGTTACACACTGTGGGTATTCCTGCCTGCCTCTTGAATACAAAAGGCCTAATTCAAGTGTTGCTTTTTTTTTTTTAATCAATTTTTTTCTTTCCTTTTGAGCTAAAACTGTTAAAAATACTACTATATATATAATCTCAAATCCATTTTTCGGCCTCCTCCTCTTTTACCAGGAAGTAGATTCTGACGAAGGGCCCCACTTTTGCAGGTCTTGCACGCCTCTCCCTTCCCCAGAACTGCAGAGCTTCAGGATGGTCAAGGTCACCCAAGGGCATCAGGCGGGGGCGATGTCTCAGCCCCCAGTTGCGTGGCACTGTTCGGCTTTGCAGCCCACCACTCACGGTGCCTCTGAAGTGTTTCCTCTGGAGTGACATGAGCGTTTGAGGCTTATCTAAGGAAAAAAAATGAAAGGCAGTGAAGGAGACTGTACATAAAGACATGGCAAAAATCTTAATTATAGCAATATAGTTATGGGGTAATGTTCGGGTGGGCAGCTCCATTAAAAAAATATGTGAATGAATCTGTGAAGCTGCAAGTAGCAAGAAGAGCGAAAGGTCTTCTTAACGAACCGCCTACCTTGTAGACAGTAATTTGTACACTGTATAGTTTTGTTAAGATTTTTTTTTTAAATTAAAATTCCCATGTTTGTAAAGCTAACTTTTTAACAATTATAATGGAACTGTATGTTGTTTCCATTTTTAAAGTAAACAAGAATATTCCTTGTTTAGAGACTGGACTTGAGTTAAAACTCTCCAGTCTCTTAAGTTATGTATTAAAAAAAAAAAAAATCTGTCCATGTTAGGAGTTATTTCACAGATTCCTGTGCTTGAAAAGCGTAGGAGACTAATCCTTTAAAAAAGTGTAAATGGAGAAAAGTTATATTTTATGAAGGTTATTTTGTTGTATTTAGTATTGGAAAAGTTGGTTTTCAGAGCATTTCAGAATGTCGGAAGCACCACTGTCTTTTTATTAGTATATACGGCCTTTAGCGCGAGTTTTTGTGATTGTTACGTGATGGTATTTAAGGTTAAGTTTCACAGAGCATTCAGGATAGGCAGAAGACTACAGCAGTGCTATGTCTCACATAACGTGTCCTCAGGGAGCAGAATCTTGGATTTGTGACTTGTCGCTTCATAAGGACTCAACAAAAGAGATTGCACAGGGACATCTTCAGCGGTGTGACACCAGGACATGTTCTTTACCTAGATTCAAAATCTATGTACTATGTGACACGATGAAGGCTGCAGAAAGTTATCCCATATTCAGTGTACAGTATTCATTTTTAATGACACAACTCTACAATATTGCTGGCAGATAGGCCCCAAGCATGACATCCAATATAGTTTACATGTTCCTGTCAAGGTCTTTTGTTAACATTAACCAGCTGCATGCTTCCTGGACTTGAAAAAATTGGGTTTCTAGAGAAAACTTTTTTTTTTTTTTTAAATGTGCAGGCTATTCAAGTTCAATAGTAAAAGCTCAAAATTGAATGTTCTACTCCATGCTGAAGGAGCTGAAAGCTGCCTTCTTCATATTTTGCACTTTCTGGTAGTTCCCCTGTTTTTTCTAATTCCTTAAAAATTGTGTGGGTGGGGTGGAG